TGCCAGGATCACGGTATTAGGCGACACTTCACAGTACGTGAGACACCGCAACAGAACGGGGTGGCTGAAAGGTTGAACCGTACCTTGCTGGAGAAGGTGCGATGTATGATGACACAGAGTGGATTGTCAAGATCATTTTGGGCCGAAGCGTTGGTTTATGCGAGCCACCTCGTGAATAGGTTGCCGTGCACTGGGATACAGGGAAAGACTCCGTTGGAGCGTTGGTCTGGTTCGGTAGCTAGTGACTATGAGTCGCTTCGGATATTTGGGTGTCCAGCTTATTACCATGTCAGTGATGGTAAATTGAATCCGAGGGCGAGGAAAGCAGTCTTTGTGGGATTTAGAGATGGAGTTAAAGGCTTCAAGTTATGGGATCCACAGGACAAGAAGATAGTTATTAGCAGGGATGTCACATTTGACGAGGCGTACATGATGAAGCCTCAAGTTCCTCAGCAGGTGGAGGAAGACCAGATTCAGGAGATATCACAGCAGGTGGAGGATGATGTGACTCTACCCACTCCAGAGAGCATTGTATCCATCGAGGCTCCTACAGAGGTGACACTAGAAGGAGATGAGATGACAGCCGGGCATTTAGAGGATACAGTGGATGTTGGGACTCAGGAACAGGGTCATGTTCAGGAGTCCATTGCAGCTAATAGACCAAGAAGAAACATTCGTCGGCCAGCTAGATATGACGATGTCATGGTTGCATATGCTTTATCAGCAGAAGTCGTTGATGATTTGGTTCCTTCTACATTCAAGGAAGCAGAGTCAAGCTCTGATTCGATTAGGTGGAGGGAAGCCATGGAGGAGGAGATGCAGTCTCTTCATAAGAACGGAACTTGGGAACTTGCAAAGCTACCGAAGGGTAAGAAGGCTATTGGATGCAAGTGGGTATATGCAAAGAAAGAAGGATCTTCTATTGGGGACATTCGGTACAAAGCCAGATTGGTTGCCAAGGGTTATGCACAGCTTGAGGGCGTTGATTACAACGAGGTATTCTTACATGTTGTAAAGCATTCGTCGATTCGTATTTTATTAGCATTGGTGGCACAGCTGGATTTGAATTTGGTCCAGATGGATGTGAAAACAGCCTTTCTACATGAAGATTTAGAAAAGGAGATCTACATGACACAACCTATGGGGTTCAAAGCTGCAGGAAATGAAGAATTGGTATGCAAGCTGAAGAAGTCTCTTTACGGATTGAAGCAATCACCGCGACAATGGTACAAAAGATTCGACGGCTTTAATGATTGGCCGAGGGTACACGAGGAGCCCATATGACCCGTGTGTTTACATGCACAAGTTACAGAATTGTGAGTATATCTATTTGCTATTATATGTTGACGATATGCTCATAGCTTCCAGGAATACTTCAGCTATTAGAAAGTTGAAAAAGGAGCTGTCATCCGAATTTGAGATGAAGGATCTTGGAGAAGCAAAGAAGATATTGGGTATGGAGATCGAGAGAGACAGGGTGAAGGGGAGGTTGAAGTTGACACAGAGGAGTTACTTGCAGAAGATGCTGAAGAAATTCAGTTATGATGGCAATGCCAAGGCGGTGAGTACTCCATTAGCTCCCCACTTTAAGCTATCAGCTAAAATATCACCTGTTTTAGTTGAGGATCGGGAATACATGTCTAAAGTTCCATATGCCAATGTTGTGGGTAGCTTGATGTATGCGATGGTGTGTACAAGACCAGATTTATCACAGGCCGTGAGCATGGTATCCAGGTACATGCACGACCCTGGGAAGGGTCATTGGGAGGCCGTGAAGTGGATTCTACGGTATATCAAAGGTACCGTGGATGTTGGTTTGGTATTTCAGAAGAATGAGAAGAACGGGCAGGATTGTATTGGTTACGTGGATTCTGATTATGCGGGGGATCTGGACAAGCACCGGTCTACTAGCGGATATGTGTTTACACTAGCAGGAGCACTGGTGTGTTGGAGTTGCACACTTCAGTCTACAATGGCTCTCTCCACTACGGAGGCAGAGTATATGGCGTTGACTGAAGCTGTAAAGGAGGCTTTGTGGTTGCAGGGATTATTGGAGAACTTGGGGATCGCACAGGAGACCCTTCGGGTAAATTGTGATAGCATGTCAGCTATCTATTTGGCGAAGAACCAGGTTTATCATGCACGCACGAAGCATATCGATGTCAGATTCCATTTTGTTCGTGACGTTTTGGATGAAGGAGACGTCATATTGGAGAAGATACACACAAAGGACAACCCTACAGATATGTTGACCAAAGTTGTTTCAGGTGTCAAGTTTGGTCATTATTTGGAACTTTTGAACATTCTTTGGTGTTGAGGCCTTTGGAGGCCATTTGGGTGAACTACGTTCGGCTAGATTCCTTGGGCAAGAGGATACATAGGCAGTCTTTTCGATGCAGCCGATTTGGATTAGTTGATTTTGATGGGGGGTGAGATTGTTTGGACTCTCGTTCGGGTTCTCGACTTCTTGCTTTGGTGTCGGCTCAGTTTTGAGAAAACTTTGCCGAGGTGGAGAATTGTGAACGTGGGGCCCATGAACCACGTGAGTGAGTTTTCTTTCTGCGTGCGGTTTCTTTCCGCATGAGATTTGAGAGCAGGCCCACCCGATGTCACATTCAACTATATATATAGCAAATTTCACCTAGGGTTGTGTGTCCAAGGAAGTTGTGGCTGCGGAAGAAAGCAAGGAAGCTTTGGCTGTGGATTTCTTTTTGCGGCTACGGGAAAAGGAGTTTTTGACGGCTGGCGCAAGTGCTTGGAGCAAAGACTGTGCAACGGCAGAGAGTCTTCTTGGACTGCGTGCAACAGGAAAAATCAAAGGCTCCTTTGTATCCCTTTTGAGAGAGATTTTGTGTGAGGGATCTGAAAGTTTGTGAGAGGGTTTTATTTGTGAGATTGTAAATCCCAATTGTATCTCTCCCTCTATTAGTAGATCTCCCCCCTCCTTGCCCCGTGGACGTAGGCTATTTGTCGAACCACGTAAAATTTGTGTTCTTGCCGTGATTTATAATAGCTTGTAGGATCCCTCGACAGGTCAGTCCTAGAACTGATGAGAGGAAGAGCCGGTATCTCACTTTGTTGAGATATCCGCTTCAGATTCTTGTTTCCTTGGTGAAACAGGAATTCTTACGATCTAATCTCTTGTTGTGCACCTTGTGCTGCTGAAGTACTGCCGAAATTTCTGCTGCGCACAACACCTCACGTTACGAAGTAACGAGTCCATTGATTATCTCACCTTCAGGCATTACTGCATGCAGCAGTTACAACAATATTTAAATCAATTGATGTTATAATTATAATTGTTATTATGATTTGTAGCAGTCACATTGATTATAGGTGACTCTTAAGCTGGTCTTAGAGGCTTATAAATAGCGGCCCGTGGGTAGCTCTTGGACACACGAATGTAAGAGCTCTTGTACATACGAAATATATTGAGTTGTTGTGCTGCTGCTGCAGAAACTGTGCCCGAATGAACTTTCCCTGAAATCGAAAGCTTTTGAACCAAAAGATTCTGAGATCGATGAAATCTTTGCCTTGACCGAAAAATCTTATAGATCGAGGAGATCTTGATAGTATTGGGTTTGTGCACACCAGAGTACTATACTATTGTTCTTGGAAGCAACTTGGCCTTGGGATCCTTACACCGGAGTAGGCTAAATATTTCTTTAAGCACAGCGTTTCACAAACGCACAACAGTTAACTTAAAAAGTTTAAAATTACAACACATCAACTTTCATTGTTTTATTCCAGATTTAATCACAATCTCCAATAATCTTAAAGTAATATTTTTGATCTATCTTGGGTCCCGTGAGGACTCCTAGAGTGGACTGTCTTAAGTTAGAGAATTTTGACGGATCCAACTTTAACGCATGACGTCAGAAAGTGATCTTCGGGATGCAACTCCTAAAAATCTACTATATGGTTTCTGAGGAGAAACCCGACTTTGAAGAACATTCTGAGTTTGAAGCCCCTTGAGCTAAACATGATCATTTCTACAGGAGTTATCTTCTTTACTGTCTGGTCGATCCTCTGGCAGATGCTTACACCCACAAACTCTCTACAAAGAAAATCTGGAATGCTCTGGAGGACCAATATAAGGATGAGGAGAAACTATCTAAGTCTCACCTCATTGAAAAGTTTCTGGACTTCAAATTCGAAGATGACACAGAGATTTTACCTCAAGTCAAAGAGCTTGAAAAGCTTGTTATGAAGCTGAAGGATGAAAAGATTAATCTTTGTTAAACTTTTATTTCTGGTGTAATTGTCAACAAATTTCATCCATCTTGGATATCATTCTTCATGGATATTCAAAGAAGAAAAAGATAGGTGACTCTGTCTGATTTGAAGAGCTTTATTCGGATCGAGGACGAGATTCGAACTCGCACGAAGGATGAGCTCCTTGCTAAGCAGAAGACGTCTGCTAATATGATGCTAATAACTCTGAGTATGGTACTAGTTCTTCTTCCAAGAAGAAAAAGAAGTCATTTAACAAAAAGAAGAACCACTCGAAGAATCTAAATATTCAAAAGAAAGATTTTAAGAATAGCGGCAAATACTTCAACTGTGGGAAACAATGATATTTTGTCAAGGACTGCAAAGCATCAAAGAAGAAAACAATACACAATGTTAATCAAGTTGATAATTGTGTAGCTATGCTCTTCCAAGCGACAACTTCCAACAAGGTCTCAGATTGGTAGTTAGATACAGGAACTACCTATCATGTCTGATCCAACAGATATTTGTTCTCTTCTTATGTTACTACCAAAGAGAACGTATCAATGGCTGATCGTTTTGTGGTTCTTGTTCTTGGAACTGGGACTGTGGTGCTGACTCTTTCTTCAGGAAAGACTCTCACATTGAAGGATGTGAAACATGTTCCCTCAATTGCTAAAAACTTAATCTCTGGAAGCCTGCTGTGTGACGCAGGTATGAGACTAGATTTCCAAAGAGGAAAGGTTATGTTATCTTTTAAAAAAATATATTTTAGCAATACATATCATACTAATGACATGTATAAGATCAGTACTATTGTACCCAACTCAGTTATAAATGAAGTATCATCTTCTGCTTACTCCTCTGTATTATAGCACAATAGGCTGGGACATATAAATTATAAAAAGTTTTCTAGCATGGAGAAATTAGAATTACTTCCAAAATATGAGGGTAACAAACCTGAGAAGTGTGAAATTTGCGCACAAGTGAAGCTAACAAGGAAGCCCTTTCTAAGTGTCACAAGGAGCACCAACCTATTAGATCTGATTCACTCAGATATGTGTGATTTCAAGAGCTTCGTCACTCGAGACGACATGAAGTACTTCATCACCTTCATTGATAATCATCCCTGCTTCTGTCACGTGTACCTGCTAAAATCTAAAGATGAAGCCTTCAGCAAGTTTATTGAGTTTCGAACTCATGTGGAGAAGCAACTTGGACTTCAGGTGAAAAGACTCAGGAGCGACACAATAAGAGAGTACCAATCTAAGGAGTCGGAAGCATACTTCAAGGAGCATAAAATCATTGCTGAAACTACGTCTCTGTACTCTCTGTAATCTAATAGGATTGCAGAAAGGAAGAATCGCACATTGACCGAGATGGTGAATTTCATGCTAATCACATCTGGTCTACCGACCTGCTATTGGGGAGAGGCTTTGCCGGTGGCAAACTGGATTCTGGATAGAGAACCCTATTTCAAAACTAATAGTACTCATCATCAGTTATGGTTGGGACACTACCACATAATTGATCTATTACAACGGTTAAGGCGCAACGGTTTTAACTGTTGCGTTAGATATCTATCGTAACGGTTTTCAGGGTGTAATACAACATTTAATATAAAATGTTGCCATAGATCTAATAATTGTTTCTGGGCTTAATAATTGTTAGTGGTCTTTGAGCTTGAGTAAAGCCCATTGTTTGACCGCACCGCTAAAACCGCACCAACTTAAAAAGGAAATCTCTCTCTCTCTCTCTCAAATCCCTAAAATCGCCGCCGCCATGGCCAAAACTCCCTAAAATTGCCGTGGCCAAAACTCCCTCGTCGCCGTTTTCAGTCCTCGCCGGAGTCCATTAACTTTCGTCGCCGTTTTCATCTCGTTGGTTTCATCGTCGAGCTACTCTCGTTGCTCCAGAAATCGAGCCCAGTCCTCGCCGGAGCTTTCTAGGGTTTGTTCCACCTATCTCTTCTCACGATATTTTGATTTCTCAATTCGCACTACCGTTTTCTGAGTTCAAATTGATTTTTCCAGTTAAATTTAGTGATTTCTATGATTGTGTGTTTATAAGAGATTGGATTTTTTCCTTCTAACATTTAGCTGTTGGGCATGAACTCTCCTAGGTATCTTACATATTTGGAGTTCTTTGTTGATTCGTTGATTTCAGTTAGCCTCTCTTGTTTCCTTTGTGTGTGAGTATAGCTAGGCGTAAGTTGTGCTGGGCTTGATGGGCAAGCTCATCTGTTTTAACTTGTACCTCCTTTTAATTTGTTAAGGAAGAGATGTCTTGTTAAAATGATGGGTCTATTGTTTCTTAGTAAGTGGGAAGTCAGAACATTATAAGTATACTGTAAAATTGTCCAAACATGTAAAAACAAAGAAGGTGGTTTTTGCAAAACAGATGTTTGTATTGCTTGGACAATTGGGTCTGGAAGCTATGGCAAAGTGGTAAGACTTGTTTTAATATTATCAATCATTCAATCGTTCAGTTATCTAATTTAATTAATTGCTTTGGTTGTAATAGGTTCTGTACCAAAGTGTTAAAGATGGAAAACATTATGCAGTAAAGGTACTCAATATTGGTTTTTGCATCCACTTTTGCCTTCATTGTGAACATTGATACTATACTATTTTGATAGGTATCTTTTTGTTTTTGTTGTTGTTTGTTGTTTGTTGTTGTTGTTGTTTAATGGTGAGAAAATCATATATCTTTGATTGGTGGTGGTTATCAACATGTTACTGAACCTGTCCTCTTCATACAATATCCTTAGATTCACAAGTCATTGAGATGTATTATTCTGAATAGAACAATAAACTGTTGAGGCTTCTATAAAAAATCAACTGGTACATCTATAGGTACAGGTAGATTTCTATCCATTATGTCTGTGCTACTCATTGGCATGCTCCGCAGAACCTGTCTCTGCCTCTATGCTGTGGTAGTAAACGTTGTATCATGTGTTGGTTACTTTTCATGAGTAAGCTTTATTTTCACCATCTATTTTCTAAGCATATTTTTTGATTCACAATTTGGATGTTTGTTCGAGTTTTCTTTTCCTGACATGTCGTTTTCATTTTTGTTGGATATTAAGTGAGTGTGATGGAACTATTTTCAAGGCCTCTTCACATCTCATTATTCAAGGGGATGTTTAATTGTCCTTCTTTTATACCCAGGTTTATGTAATAGTTTCATTTATTTGATGTTAGAATGTGGTATTTGTTAACGCGTGAGACTGAGTTTTTGAGTTATTGTTACTCTCGTGGGTTTTCTTTGACAACCAATGCTTTTGTTTTGTGAAGATCATCTAAAACAGGCATATCTAAGCATTTATAGATGTGCCAGATTATGTGGTTGTGCTCTTCAGCATCAGTACATTAAATTGTTTTTCATTTTTCATTATATGAGCTTGCTAGGTACTGGCTTATGTCCTGTCTTTCTTTCTTGTTGCTAGGTACTGGCTTATTTTTCATTTATACTAGTGAGCATTATTAGATTAGATGCATCCAATACACACTTTCTTATTGTTCTGTCTTTCTTTCTTGTCCCATAAACTTGACTGGGTGATCTACTTATTTCCATCCAATTCTTTTCATATTATGTAGTTTGTTGTTTTTTGTAGTTGTATCCAGTACGATAATTCTGCATTTTATGTTCTAATGCAGGTTTTCCACAAATCGCATTTGTTGAAGTTGCGGGTGGCACCTTCAGAAACTGCCATGACCGATGTTCTTAGGGAGGTGAGTTTTTTCCCCCATCTTTGTTCTGAGCGTTAGGGATTAGATGTAGTTAGCTTGTCTAGAGAAAAGCAGAAGCAAAATCTCAAGAAAAAACCTCGATTGTTGGAATTTGATGTTTGTGTTTATGGTTCAATGTTCCTCTTGTATTTGTGTTTACGATTATAAAACAGATGGAGTAAATATATTCATCATTTTTCATCTTGACAGTTACCTCAAACAGAAATAATAGCATAGTCTTTTGCTACTTGCAGGTGTCCATCATGAAAATGTTGGATCATCCCAATATAGTGAAACTCATTGAGGTGATTGATGACCCACTCATAGACAACTTCTACATGGGTATTCATTCACATTTTTTCCATATATTTTGATGTATTATCTTTCTTAAACCAGCTGTTGTTTTTGCATTCTATTTAATTTGTTATCACTTTGCTATTATATTAGAATTTTGTGATTGACATTAGTGGCTTTTATTATCTTCACTTTGCAGTTCTAGAGTATGTAGCAGGCAAAAGGATGTGTGACTTTGGTTCTTGTCCAAGAGATGGTATTGGAGAAAGTGAATCAAGAAGATATCTACGAGATGTTGTTTCTGGTCTCATGTATCTCCATGCTCATGTAAGATTTTTATTCTGCAGTTTATAAGTATGGTTTTGTGCTAGCAAGTTTCGATATCAGCAATATAATATTTTTGCTGCTTTTTCTGCATTAGTCTCATGCTATAATAATGATGATGATATGTAGCACATGCAGTACTCGTGCTCTGCTATCTCTGATCATCCTCTTTCATTTGTGGTGAAATGAATTGCTGTGTGATTATTCAGCTGCTATCTTTTCTTCTTCTATTTTTTACAGAGCACAATGTCACTGGTAACCAAGCTATAGTGGTGAAACGTAAGATGACTAGCCCGTTAACTACCAGCACAAGGGACATGGTTGTTCTTTAGTATAAATTTAGAAGTGAGAATCATACCTGATGCAACGATTATCTATACTAATATAGAAAGAACCAACTGGGGTATCAAAAATGGATGAATGGCGGACAAGTCCTGCTTTATAGTTATGCACAAAAGGGCAATAAGATAATTTTGGCAATTTGAAAAGATATAGCAAAAAGAATAAAAGAGTACTTTGTCTTTTTCATATTTTATCCATGTTACATTTTCTTTCTCATATACAAACATTAGCTCTTCCATCTCCTCTAAGTTCAATGTGAGAGAATTGGGGAGTAAATTTACAAATACCAACACTCGGATGGTAAATAGAAGATTTAATGCTATATGTACAAAAACTCTTTTTTTTTTTTTGTTTTAAAGGATAAATCTTACGTTTGGGGTTTTGCACAAAATTCTTCTAAACTTTATTCCACAAAGCCTCCTTAACTTGGGGACTTTCACAAAATCCTCTTGAACTTAAAAAAAATGTACTACTAACGGAGCGAATAAAAAAGCGACTACATGACAGCGAAAAATGAGATTACATCTCTACTATATTTTTACTTGTCGCTTGATAGTTCTAAACTTATGATAGTGAAAAATAAGATTACATCTCCACTATATTTTTACTTGTCACTTGATAGTTCTAAACTTCCTGATATTCGAACGGTTGTTATTTACATTCAATCTGCATCTCTTATGAATAACTCTCCTATAATTTTATTGTGTTAGTGAAGAAACAATATTAAACATATTTTAGCTACAAGTATGATTCAAACATTTGCAAATATGTTGAGTGAAGTAACTGGACGTCCAGTTAGTCCAAGCTTTGTTGACAGGTTTAAAGCGCGTACTAAACTTCCTGAAGAGGCTGCTAGTGTTCTAGATCATGAAGAGGCAAGTACCTTTTACACTTCGACATTTCTTAGCCTTCTTAGCTCTTGAACTGGTTTCTGTAGTGTTTTCTTGACTCGTTTCAGTTACTTCTTCTTTTTCCTCGTTGCTTTCTTCTCGCTCTCCTTTGTGTTCTTTTGCCACTGATGTGGCTACATTCTGATTTTTATAATAAAATTGGGTTATCTCCTTTATGTTAAGCTATTTATTTTGAATAATTGCAATATCTTTTTTCCCCAATTTTATTATTTCATGCTATTGCATTAGCTTTGTACTTGTAAACTCATACATTTATTACCAAGGATCTTTCTCCCCAGCAGATAAACATGCACAGATGCCCAAAAGAAACCGACCGAACCCCTGACCTATTTCTGATAATAGAAGCAGTAAGTTTGACATCGCAAACAGGCACCAGTATCTGAAACCAACATCGAACTCATCCGAACACTTGATAATCTAGATCACCAATGGCCTAACTTATATGTGCATGCCCAGTGCTTTTTGTATACATGCAGTACATTTATTATGTGAAATATACAAATGCTTACATGTTTGGGAGCATCTAACGATACACAAGATATCACTAGCTGTACATGTTTGGGAGCATCTAACTATACAAATGGTTACATGGGGGGATTCTCTATATCCGTTCCTTGCCGCTTACTCGCCGCCGCAATGGGCGACGGCGATCGCCGGAGTTTTTGTAGTAGTCTCGCTGTCGCTGCCCACGCACCTCTTGTTTCAACACCTCTCCGCTTACAAGAATCCTGAGGTTTTGCTTCTCGTCATCGTCGTCGTCATCGGTCATCGTCATCGGTCATCTTCGTTGTTATTTTTGAGCTTGATTTGGATTTTTTTTTTAATTTTGTTTTTTTTGTCTGTGAAATTACAGGAGCAGAAGTTTCTGGTTGGTGTTATCTTGATGGTCCCTTGCTATGCCATTGAATCGGTATTGTTTCTGCTCCCAGATATATTTATCAATTTTTGTATCATATGCAAACTACTTCAATTAGAGAAATATATCATAACTTTCAAATCAGTAGAACGCTGCCCATGTGCTTTCAGAAAAGTATGTGATAGTTTTGTGATAATACCTCAAAAGAGTCCATGGTAGTCACTGAGGACGACATAACTCATATGTTTTAGTGATTTTATTTTATCTGAAGATTCATGGTAATTTGGTAAAACGTAAATAAAAGTTCATGGTATTTAATTCATTGGTTGTCTTTAGATAGCATATGGTAACATTTTTCTGGTATGAAAGTTTTTGTATTTTTCTTGAATAAAATAGTTTACGATATTTTTGGGGGAGACCCCTTCTAATTCTTGTTAGTTATGTGAAATTTACCTCAAAGTTGACATGTAAATAAATCACTGGGCCTTATTTAGTCTCTAGATGCTATTTACACAATGACGTGGAATTCTGAAAACACAAACACTAATTTGATGTTTTTGTCCTATTTATCACAGTATGGCATTGTGTTTGTAGAAGTTAAATCCTGGAAAAATATGACGGGAAACTCAGTACTTCTTATTTTCGCTGAGGTTTTCTTGATTGTGGATAGACCCCTGTAGTTCTATTGTTAAAAATAGATCATTTGAGTGAACTATTTTCTTCGGCCAATATTTAGCTTAAATCAATCCAGAATTGGCCTAGCCATCCTCTGTTCATATAACTAAACCTATTTAGTAACTAAACTGGTTTATCGCCGCTTTGTCCGAATAATGTTTAAGTGACTTAAAAAAGACCCCCTTTGCTCATTTCATCACGCTTCTGGTACTCATGGATCAATATGTTCTCTTAACTTCCTTTTCAAACATCTTTTTTCCCCAATTTTATTATCATCATTGCAAAAATTATGCTGATTCATGGAAATTTACACAGGTACAGAAATGATGAAAGCCAAGATTGAGATTGATACTGACAGGTTCCTAGTGAGTATTTGACATTGAGGAACAAGTTTTTGGAAACAAATAGAGAATATAGTCTTTGACCGAGAAGTTTCATGTTTTGTAATCAAATGTTGATGTACATTGTTTGAATATTAGTTCGGTACGATATTTTCTGAGTTGAAATGTTGGTAGTGTGGATTTGTAGTTTTTATATTATACTGATGTATGTTGGCACTTATCATTATGGTTGATTATGCTCAACATAATCACTTTTATATTGTGTATTAAAATTTGACTTGGCCATGTTCTTAAAAAGATTGTCCAGGTAATTGAATACTATAATTATTTTGACGTAGGAAACCAAGAACAGCTTCGATTGAGCAGTTGCAATAGCTCGATTAAAACCGTTGCGATAGCTCGATTAAAACCGCTGCGATAGCTCGATCCAAACTGTTGCGATAGCTTAATCCAAACTATTGCATTAGGTCTTTTAAAACTGTTGCAATAGCTCCAACTGTCGCCGTAGCTTTATCAAAACTATACTTATAGCCTACTAAAACCGTTGCGTTAGGTCTTTTAAAACTGTTGCAATAGCTCCAACTGTCGCCGTAGCTTTATCAAAACCATAGCTTTAGCCTACTAAAACCGTTGCGTTAGGTCTTTTAAAACTGTTATAATATCTAAAAAAACCGTTGCAGTAGCTTGAAAACCGTCGCAATAGCTCAATCAAAACCGCTGCAATAGCTTAAAAACCGTCGCAATAGCTCAATCAAAACCGTTGCAATGGCTTAAAAACCGCTTGCCTTTTAAAACCGTTGCGTTAGATGCGGGGGCAACGGTTCAAAAAACCGTCGCAATAGAGTTCAAAACCGTTACGGTAGAGGTAGGGCAACGGCAGCATATGAGGCGGTTTGAGAACCGTCGCACTTGCTCAAGGGCGATGGTTCCATGGCTAGCGCAACGGTTTTGAACCGTTGCGTTAGAGCAAATATGTGGTAGTGGGATATCCAGATCATTTGGATAGTCTCAAAGTATGGGGGTGTCTCGCATATGTTCGAGTTCCAGATATCAGAACGCCTACGCTCGGATCAAAACCAAACAGAAGGCCTAATTAATACATGTCATTAATCCATGATCTAATTAAATTGTCATCACAACAATATGATATGCGTTTAATGAGGGTCTTGCGTGCGTGTTGATACAACACAGACTATACATAATAGCTCATTAATTCTTTTTCAATTATAGTTTGTTTTGATTAAACTCAAACCGGTCCAAGATTTGTGCAAAATTCCTATTTGGCAAGGTGCACAAATTCTCTGTGCTGAATTTCTACTAGCAGCAAAGCTTTAATAGATTAGACAATATTGCAACTTATTCCGATGGTTGACTCGATTTCTGGTTACTGTATGTTAGCTGCTAACTGTGCTACCACCTATTTCCCTTTCTCTGAAAACTCTAGCATCTCTTTTAGCTACTAGTCTACTTGCTAACTGTGCTACCACCTATTTCCCTTTCTCTGAAAACTCTAGCATCTCTTTTAGCTACTAGTCTACTATCTATTAATAAAAGACGAGTATAATATATCTCTGAAAACTCTAGCATCTCTTTTAGCTACTAGTCTACTATCTATTAATAAAAGACGAGTATAATATATAGGTGCTGAGATATTAAAATTTTAGCATTTTATCAAGTGTTTAACTTTGCAATCTGTATTATGGTTTTTATTATTGGCTTGCTCCTGTTATCATTTTTTCTTTCTTTCTTTCTTTAAATAAAACCCCCTTTTGGTAAAAGTTTTTGGTTTTCAAAATATTATTAACCCTTTGTTCTTTTTCATCTCCAGTATGGATTAGTATGGATTATGTTGTTTTTCAGCATTTTACCCGAGAAGTTTTTCACGAGCAAACTTCCATAAAAAGAATTGTGAAAGATTTTATGACCAGCTGCCATCCTGACATCAATCCTATGTTGTGCCTATATCCCTCAAGGTAACTACGAGCAAAAATTATGATAAGGAGCCCTCTTGTGCTCCTTGGCAGCCAGTTGGTTATTGGTTAACCAGCCTCATGCAGTTTATTAAGTTCCATAATACCCTCTTGTGGAAGTTCCATAATACCCACTAGTTGAATCAGGCATTTATCACAATGAGATAAACTTTCAACATTAAGATGCCATACCATGCATGTTTGCTTCATTACAAATAACAATATCATGGACTTGGAGCAAAAATTTGATTTTCCAAATGCAATGTCACTTGTGTACAAAATTGCTGCTATCTGATTTATTGCAGAGGACATTAGACGTCATTATAAGTTAAATGCAATGCGCCAAGTGAAGAATTACAGGAAAACATGAGAGAATCAGCAGGCAGAAGCCAGAAAGTCTGGCGGTCGACCGCCGCGGTCGACCGCTAACGTGCACGAAGCCTACCAGGATTCGGAGCAGGTGTCGGTCGACCGCCGCGGTCGACCGCGGATGACGAACGTGCACGAAGGGTACCAGGATTCGGAATTGCTGGCGGTCGACCGTCGCGATCGACCGCGGATGACTGTAAGTGTTTTTGCTCTCGGGACTGAGATTCGGTCGACCGCCGCGGTCGACCGCGAGACCTGCGCGGTCGACTGTCGATGTTCTGGGCTGGGCTTTTCGGTTTTTGACCCGTTTCGTTTCTAAGTTGTATATAACTCAGAACCTGATTGTTTAGGGTTGATGCAATGACGAATTTGAGCAGCCTTGAAGAGAGAATTGTTGCATCCAATTGTGGGAGAGTTGAGAGAGATCAAGAGCTTTGTTTTAGGGTTTGATCTGAGAGATTTGTAACTCTACTTATATTCTCTGATTTCTAATAGTAAGAACTGTTAGACCCTAGAGGGGGGGTGATTAGGGTCTTATGCTAATCTAATCCGATTATATGCCAATTAAAATTAATTAATGAGTTATCCTAGCAAGAATGAAATACAACAAGAATATAAACTAGGATAAGCAACATGAACAATGAGATATATCCTATATGATAGAAATATATGCAAGGATATATAAACAACACAATGGTAAATAATCTAAACTAGATAGTAGGCAATATAATCAACAAGCAATATACAAAGGCGATATAAGATATAAACATAAAAGTAAGTGCGCCAATGCAATCACAAACAAACAATATGATTACGGAGTTCGGTCCCCACGACCTACGTCTCCGCTCCTCACCTCGAGGAGATCTCCACTATCACAACCGGGTTTTCTACGTTCACCCGAACAACGTTTACACCTCACAATACAATCACTATGCAATCACACCTCACACACTAAGTGTTGGTCCTAGCCCGTGTCCTCCTCCTCAAGTGCTCGGTTACAACCTCTCCCTAGGCACGTCAACCGACGCCACTCCTCTTGGATTCGACCCCGTCTCTCACCACACACTTCTCTCGGTGTACAAGTGTATTACAAGTGAATCCTCACAATTAGGCTCAATACAAAGTATTTGTTCTCTACAATGAATGAGAACAAATTATAAGCTCACTCTCAAGTTACACAATCCCACAACCCAAATTATACTAAGTATGAAAATACAATAAGCTCAATGGTTGTGTGTGTACAAAGAGATAAATAAAATCAACTAAACTCAATATAAACACTAGCTTAATAAAATGATAATTAAATAATAAAATGTAAAGCTAGATTGAGTTTAGAAAAATTCTCTAATAAATGACAAGAGTGAGAGAGAGATGATTTGAAGCTCAAACACCAAAGATTATCTCCTCAAGCCCTTGTAAAATTATCTTCACAAACCAAAATCTTAAACACTCTTTTAAACAAACACAAAACACCCTTAAACTTGTTTAAACAATTCTCTTGGTTAACTTGAAAGAGAGCAGCAATAGGGTATATATACCCACTTGAAATCTCAGTCAAGAACCCCAAGCCAAAAGACAAAAACAGCCCCAGCAAACAGCTCAGGAAATAGCCGTTGAAGTCCAACGGATCTATTGTCGGTCGACCAGAAATTCTGTCGGTCGACCGATGAAGAGCAAAAACACGAAGATCAGCTCTGGACAATCGTCGGTCGACCGGTGCGGTCGACCGATGGAGCTTTCGGTCGACCGGACCGGTCGACCGACCAACTTTCTGTCGCCCAGTGATGAAAGATCAAATGATCGGTCGACCAGTACGGTCGACCGAAAACTGACATATGAAAATCTGATTTGCTGATTTTAAAATACTGTTTAAAAATATCAAATAAATTCTAAAAAAATATAAACTTTGGAGAATGATTGTAGACATGATAATAAACATGCTACAGTGACTGGTTATAAAAAAGAACCTCCCAAATGAAAAATATCATCATTTTACAAAATAGTCCAAAACACGAAAATGCAAACATATGAATTTTGACACTTAGGCTAAACCATGTTTTGAAACTTTGCACAATGATTATGTAGACTTAATAAAATATGTATATGAATATTGTTAAGTCTAAAAACTAAGAATATGATATTTTCACAAATACATTAGAGAATGAAACATAGGAGTATGTATAAGCTTGACTTGGTACACGTTGCGGATGAAGCTTGAACTTGATCTTTAACTTGAATTGTATGTAGCTTCACTCCACAAATCCACCAACCTCCTCTTGATATGATCGTGTAGGCTTAATCCATCCATCCTCCAACTACGTTGTTTGTCTATAATAAATAAGAAAACATAAATACTAGACAAACAACATTAGTGGTAAATTGTTTGTTAAACATCATCAAAACAAGAAGGCCAACAAGAACTCCCCCCCCTCCTTGCCCCGTGGACGTAAGCAACTTGCCGAACCACGTAAATTGATTTGTTCTTGCTGTGATTGTGTTTGCATATTAGTTGTGGTTAGTTTGAGGTATTGTTCGTGTTGCTAAGAAAGCTTCCGCCGCGCACAACAATTGGTATCAGAGCTAGATCGACAATATGGGAGATGCAAGCACGTCAGGTTCGTCTCTTACAAATGCGATACAGAGTCTGAGCATCAATAACACAAAGATTGATGTTCCGAAGTTCGATGGCAAGATCAATTTTGGATTGTGGAGATGTCAGGTGATGGATGCCTTGGATGCACATAATTTAGAGGAGACTCTTGAGTTAAAAGAGAAACCCGCAGAGTTGGAGGATAAGGTTTGGAGAAAGATGAACAATAGAGCTTGTGGTGTTATTAGGTCATGCTTGACGCCGGATCTTATTTAAGATGTTATGAACGAGACGTCGGCGAAGAAGATGTGGAAAACACTCAATGAGAAATAT